ACATACTTGTTGACATGTGAAAGATGTGCCATATAAAAAAATAATATCTTATGATGCCATACCATGAAGCCATAAATGGCCAAAAAAGAGACTTTAGCCTGGTGCAACAATGCAGCTTTTATATGTTTAATTCCTTCCATTATTTGTAACTGTATTGCTCTCTTTTATTATTGTTTTTCTATTCGTTTTTTCTTCCTTTTTATCTTTTCATTTTTTGCCTTTTTGTATGTGCCCTTTAACTCATTTTGTCGACTTATGGACACCAAAGTGGTTTTTGGCTAGCTAATCAATGCTACTAAGCAATTGATCTAGCCAGCACAAGATCTAGTAACTTGCAACAACTTCCCTTTCCCTTGACATCTCTTTCTTTTCCCTCATTCCCTCTCACCTTGTAGAAAGCCAGATTTGGCCTTGAGCTTTCATAGAGAAACCATTGCTTTATACTTCCCCAAATATATTACTTCATCGGCCATCCCCAACCACATTCTAACAATCCTCCACCATTGATAGTATGAAGAAAATAGAAAGCCTTTTTTTTGCTAAGCACAAAAAATTTAGTGACAGAAAAAGAAGAGATGATTCAGATAAAATGGAAAATTGGGAGATATTACTTAAGATTACAGGTCAGTTTTATTTTTTTCAGTTTCTTTGTATAATTCTATTAATTATTTTGCAAATGCATCTCCCTATTTCTCCCTCATCAACTTAACTTATCTAATTCTATTAAATGCCACATCATATGAAAGTAAGAACACCTGACTATTTTGTTTTTATAAAAACAAAATTTTAAAAGTACATTAACATGACAATTCATCAACTTTATCAACAAGATTGTGCAACTAATGGCATGTCATGGACATTAAAGAAACTTTAGCAGTTTTAATTTTACTTAGAGATGGGCGCAAGGGTAGGATACGATTATATGTGCAATGTGGGTGCATTTAATTTATCTAAGTTTTTCCATATATTTGGATAGTCAAACTTCAATGTCCATGCACTTCAAATGTATCAGACACAAGTAATTCTAGCAAAATGAAGAGTAAGAGCACCTAAGAACTTTTAATCGACTGTGTCAGTAATATTCCTTAATTGAAAAGAAATGCGTAGGTAAATGAAATAAATTGTTCAAACTTCCGAAAGGACTAATTTGAACATTCCAACATCATACATGGACTACAACCAGAGTGCTTTAACCTATTATTTTTATTTCCCTCATGTTATATTGTAAAAGTAAATTCAGCAAAAAAATGTCAAGGGGTACAATCTAATAGACACACATACTTGACATGCCTTCTTTCTTCCAAAACAATTTAGAAGAGCACATTTAATAATTATAAATTGAAAATTACTAAAAATCTAAAAGGAAAATCAAGATGAAGAGTTCGATAACTATTATAGGAGACAAGTAAAAAAAAAAAAAGATAAAAAAGAAAGGAGCTTGCCACAAAAATACAACAACCCCCTCCCTCTTTGAGACATTCTACCTTGTATAATTGTTAATTTTTGACATTGGAAAACAGTCCAAGAATTCGATTGTAATTCAATTTAGAGTTAATAGCATTCATGATCTCTAAACCTTGACCAAATTCTAGTTTGTTATCTAATATTTAAAAAGTTCTAACTGGATCCACAATTACTCAAAGTCATTCAACTTTAGTACTTTTGTCTATGAAACTATCTAAATTGCCGGTAAATACTAGCTGATGCCACGGGGATGGTGTCAGCTGGCATCTCACGTAATAAATAAAGAGACCAAAATAAATTTTAGTTTCAAAAGGACCAATCATATTGTAAATAATTTTAAATAATATATTTTTATTTTTATTATAATATAATTTATTAGTTAAATATTTTTTGTTTCTAACTAAAAATAAATTATAATAAATTCAAATTAAGTTCAAATTTCAAAATCTTTTTAAAAATATTCTATATCATTTTAAAAAATTAAGTAAAATTTTCTATATTAGTTTAAAAAATTAAATAAAAACTCAATATCATTTTAAAATATTTATTAAAAAATTTCATATCATTTAAACAAATCAATTTATTAATCAATACATAATTTTTTTTATTGAAAAACAAATTATTTTATATCTATTCTTTATTAAAATTTTATATTTTAAAAAAACAAAAAAATAGACAATTAGAACGATCCCTATCACTGCCAATTAGATAAGGGGAATAAATCATGTATTAAAAATGATACATTTATTTTATATAATTATAAAATTTTAATAAAAAGTAAACTCAAAATAGTTTTTTTTTTAAATATATTTCTAAATAGATTAATAAAGCTATTTTTATAGAGATATATAAATTTTTGCTTAATATTTTAAAATGATAAGAAGTTTTCTATTTAATTTTTAAACCGATATAAAAATTGTCACTTAATTTTTTAAAATGATATAGAATTTTTTTTTAAAGGATTTTGAAATTTTTAACTTAATTTTAATTTTTTAAAAATTTATTTTCAATTAAAAATTATATTTTACTAATAATCATATCATAATAAAAAAAATAAATAAAATTTAAAATTACAATATTTTGAAATATAAAAGAAATAATTCTTTTCTTTAATTATTTTTCCTTCATTATAAAAATTTATAAAATATATTTGAAAAGGAAAAAGAGAAAGATATTTAATATTTTTAATAGAAAATATATTTTTTATGATAAAAAAATATATTCTATTATGATTTATTAGTAAAATAATATTTGTAAAAAAAAAATTTCGTGAAAATGATAGAAATTTTTTAAAAAAATTTTGAAAATTTTAACTTAATTTTAATTTTTTTTTAATCTATTCTCTATTGAAACAAAAAATATTTAACTAATAAATTATATTATAATAAAAATATAAAAATATTATTTTAAATTTTAATATTTTATCAAATATATCTAAAATATAAAAAAATTCAAGATAATAGCATCTTTGGTCTTTAAACTTTAAGTAAAATTCTATTCTAGTCCCTTTGTTTATCAAGTGAGATGCTAGCTGTTGCTATTCAAGTGGCGTCAACTAGTATTTACCATCAATTTAGATGGTTTTATAAATGGAAGGACCAAAGTAAGACAATTTTGTGCAATTGGGGATACAATTAGAATTTTTTAAAGATTAGCAACCAAAATATAATTTGGCTCAAAGTTTAGGATATAACTCTTCAATTTGTGATGACTATAACTAGAAGTTCATATTCTTCGATCATTTATAAACAATTTGTTGAAGAATATTCAACATGACCAACTGGTACAGAGGATGATCAGACTAATATCCTATTTCAAAATGGTGTGTTATCTTTGAAAAGATTATTTTCCCCTCCTCCCTTGGAAAGATGGTTTATAAGTGGAAATAGTGGATCTTCCTTGCTTGCTAGTGTTATATATGATGTCTTTTTTGTCCTGTTAAATTTCTATATTTGAGTGCATTAAAATTTTTTTGAGTAATTTGTTGGTTTAAAGCCTTTTTCCTTATCTTGTGCATTTGATTCACTCAAACACAACATTCAATGCTCAAAAGAGTGTGCATAGAGGTGAAAATCAGGCGGGTCAAGTGGGGTCACTCGAGTTAATGTAAACTCAAGTTGAGGTCTCAATTTGTTTCAGGTTTGGATCATTTCGGGTTTAATACTCGAATAATTAGGGTTCAGGTCATTTTGGGTCAAAGTTGTTAACTTTTAAAATCAAATCAAATTAGGTTTATATAGTTTTGCGTCATTTCGAATGAGTGGCTTCAAGTTATTTATCTCTTGGTCAAATTGGGTTCAATCATGTTCAAGTTCAAGCAAGTCGAGCAGGTTTCTTGAGTTCAGATAAGTTTTTCTAGCTCTAGATGTGCACATGGCTCACTCTGAACATTCATTCATTTCAAAAGCTTCCCCTATATCCATCATCAAATTCACCTCAAGGTCCTAGATATCATCACTAGAGGAGCTCAACTTCATCGTTTGAGATGCATCGATATGCAAATTTATACAATACTATCTAGCAATCTATCAAAGGAAGAGTAGCTAGTCTAGTCTAATGCTAGGCTAGGTGATTCCTCTCTATCAATGACTGAAGCAACATCCAGAGAGAGAGCTCACTATACCACCAGGTTGCCACATTTGCTTATGAAACAATAACGGCTTATCCCGAGGAGAACTGCGCATAAGTCTGATTTACCAAGGCGTTCTAGGTTCTCTATTCTGACTTGTATACTGACACGCATGTATATATTTATATTTTTTATGTATACATATATAAATACTCATATATACTTATATGTACTAATAAAAATTATTCTACAAATTGCTGTTATCCTTACTTTTAAATCCTAACTTAATTGCAACACATAAAAAAATTTGGTACAGGAGTTGTGATGCAAGATGATAACAAATTGCTTGAGGGATTGATGTACTTTAAATTTTATTGAGGTACTTTATCATATTTCTAATTTTTATATAGATGTAGAATATTTCAAATTATTTAGTTTATTTCATATTAAATAGTGTTTCGATTATTTTCAAGTATTAGGGTATTTGGGTTATATTTTGGTATTTCATGTACTTCAAGATTTAGAGTCTAGTGTAAGAGCAGTTTATGTTATTTAAATATGAAGTAGCATTAGATCGTGAATTATTTAGACTTTCTCTTAGCTCTTTTGCTTCCTCTATTTCTTATCCTTGTCCCTAATGCTTCCACCTTTTCCCTCAATTCCCACTTAGATCTCTATTTCCACTCTTGTCTTCGCTCTACATCAATTTGGTATAAGAGCTTTTGTGGGTTTTTGGATTGAGTAGTGTTCTGACAAAAGATTTATATATGTTCAAAGAAATCAGAAATTCAAAAGCAAATCCTGATCGATGGGGGAAAATGAATGGAAGGAAACTCAATTGCCACCATTCAACTACCTGATCACCCTTTTGTGCATTGCTAGGAAGCAACCCAACAACTTTCAGCCATTCATTAGAGAGAGAGAGAGAAAAAAAAAAAAAAAAAGAAAAGAGAGAGAGAGAGAGAGAGAGAGAGAGAGAAAAAAACATTTTAACCAAGAAATTCAAATCATCCACTCATTCACGAAATTCAGAAAGCAATGCTGAAGAACTTGTCAAAGCATCCAAACCGTCTACCTACAGAACCTTGCCAACTGCTTTCCATATCCAGTAAAATATTGGTCAGATGAAGGGCTTAATAAAGTCATGCACTACATTTCAGCCTGCTTTGACTAGCATGCTAGTTCGTATCAATTCAATAGTGCAACAGCTGTGACACAACATTGCTGCCATCAAGTTAGTGTTACATCAGCATCGCCATACTAGCAAAATTTCCAGAATATCCTCTCCCCCTATCCTTGACATCCTGGTTCTAGTAGGTTTTTTAGATTCAACATGATAAAACATATAATTTAAGATTTCGGAATGAGTGTCATCAATGGTATTCAAATGTAGAACTTGGAAGATGAAATCTATGATTCTTTTTTGCGTTTGGATGAGTTGCTTTATTAGATTGATAAAAACAATGCTCATAACCTTCATTGATCAATATTTAATGTCTTTATGAACAAGAATTTCAAGAAAATTTGGCTCCAGTCTCAATCTTGTTCCTTTAATTTGTTAGAGAGCAAGATCACTAATGAGAAGTTCAAGTTTATTGTATAGGAGATTCAAGAAGATTAGAGAAGTAAAGCAACATCTGACAGAGTTGTTAAAATCAATGAGAAGGGAAAATGCCATTGAAGAATCAAAAGTTGAGAAAAGAGAGGCGTAACATGAAAGATTGAGAACCAGAACTAAGTTTTTGAACTGAAATTAAAGGTTGCACCTGAAAATTTAAGTACAGAGTTTGTGCTCGTCCAAGGACCTGAGGAGTTCAGTGAAGTGCCTACATAGAAATCAAGTCCAACGCTCTCATACAAAATAAGAAATATAGTGAAAAACTTTCCATTGACTTTTTTATTCCAAGGGTGTTAAAAAATGATAGGCAAGCAGCCTTCCTGATGATGTTTGTTTCACAAGAGAAATTTGTTGACAATGCTTTCAAGTGTTTTGTTGGAATCAAGCCATTCTTGGATAGGCTCCAACATTTGAAAACTCAAGGACCAGTTTTTACCTCCAAGAGGAGAATGGTGCAAGTTGAGAAGAAACTGCTTACAATTTTATTTTAGCACATTGTTATATTTGCAGGTTTAACTGTAATTACTTTAGGATCCTCTACATTTATAAAGTTATTTTATATTAAACAGTGTCTTGCTTATTTTCAAAATACCTGGGCATTAGGATTACATATGACGCTTTAGATTTATATTAGGGTTTAGCATGTAATACTTTATATTATTTTAATTTCTAGTAGTTTTGGATTATAAATTATGATGGACTAGATGACATAATTAGGTTTGTTTCTACCTGCTTGATTTTGGGGTTACTGGCTTTCTAAAATGGATGGAAAAACTAATGCAAGTGAAGCAATGGGGGAGTAGAAACAATAAAACGAAGCCTAAAACAGTAAAAGGAAACCTATCTAATCCTAGCCATTCAACCTTGTTAAGAGATCACAAGCTAGTCACCTGACCACTTAATAAAATAAAAACATAATTACTAACCATTAGCTAAAGTAAAATGCAAACATAAAGATAAACTTATCAAGATGAACAATTTAAACAAATTCTGAAATCTGTCTGCTTCAACAAGTTTCCACTAAATATAAAGAGTTAAATAAGTCTATTTCATATCCACTTAAAGTTCCTTTGAATTAACTGTTTCATAAAAGGGCATCAAAGACTCCAACATAAAGAATACTACAACCTATGTAGTAGTTTCATTTTGATTAAGTTATTCTTTTCAATTCAGCTTCTTGTTTCAATCTAGGCTTTGATTTCAGTTTCAGGGTTTGTGTGCTAAACCACTTATACAGGACAAAAGATGGTGCGTTTAAGGCTTTGAGTAATAATCTTATATTGCGAAAACTTTGCTAATATGAGCTATATATACAAGATAGGACCTTTGACTTCAATGTGATTTAGTTTTCCTTCAGTCTTTAGTCAACTTTTTATTTCTTGATTCAATTTGTAATTTCATTCTTGGTTTTCCTTTCACTCCCAGGGCCCATGTGCTAATCCAAATGTTGAAGTGTTTGCATATCAGGTGTGTTTAATAAAAAGGAAGCAAAAAAAAAAGCATATGCTAGATATCACAGTTGTCTCCATCTTTTCACTAGCTTTAAACTATTCAACTATTGTGCTAAACTGTTTCCTGACAACAACATCATCTGCCCATTCTCATTCAATATTAATAATCACAAATATAATTTCTACCAAAAAGGAAAACAGAGAAACAAACAACGTACTTGTCCAGGAAATGCTTTAGCTAATGCCTTGATGGTAGAATTTTGTATCCAAACGTCATCAACTGATTGATGGTGTAATTTTCCGTCTATAGATGATTCGCTTACACCACCACAATTCACCATAAGGCGACCATCGGGCATCAATCTATCACTTAATTCCAACCATGTTTCAACCTGACAAAGAAAATCACAAAACATGTAGCAAATGGTCAAATATGGACATGAAACATTTAAATGGTAACTACAAACAAGTTTGCACTAGATACAAGTTAGAAACTGCATTAAGGTTATATGCAAACAATATTTTAGATGGCAAATTAAAGCAGGAAACTGAATTCACAAATTCTAGCTCCTTTTTATAGGAAAATTGGACTTATCAAACTTGAATGCCATAAGCTGGAAACAATATACAAATCTTTTTTAACACTTTAATCTCTTAAGTATCAACTGATTAAAGTCCTATCTGATCAAAGAAACTTTGGAATCATACTTCTCTAAGCTCCTCAATAGATACAAATAAAATCCGGTTACCATTTTGAGCCTAGCATAAATGTTGTCGCTTTTGATTTGTAAGAAATTCCAAAAGAAAAACATGCTCTTGTCTTCATCGATTAGAATACTACCAAATTAGGCCCACTTCGAGGAAAATTTTGTCAATAATAAGACCATAGAGGCTCTTTTTTTGACATTCATATATATATATATATATATATATATGAGGGATCCATTTACACTAGTGTAAGTATTATACATTTTTTTTTACCCTTGGATCAAAATGACCAAGTTTAAGTGTTATGGATTTAATTTTGATTCAATGGTCAAAAAAGTGTATAACACATATACTAGTGTAAGTGGAATCCCTACTCTCTTTCCAACATTTTCATTTATGCCATTCTGCTTCAGCTTTCATCATCAACCTCAACTTATTAAGATGCTGATTCCAATTGCAATGGAAAAAGTTAACTTTCTAATAGCAGAGAAAGGTAACAAATGCAGTATTGATAGGTAAATCTTCATCTAAGAAACTCAAGGGTGAGACTTTCAATCCATAATAGTCATTATTGTTTGTGTAATTGCTAATGATCTCATAGGGCTCAAGCATCAACTCATTTGGCCACCACCCTGATGTTATAGGGAAACATGCATGATTCACTTGCCAAAAATTTTGCCTATCTTCTTTAGATTGGCTTTATCTTATTACTTTCTCACGCATTGATCATTTATTGTTTCCTAAGTTCATCATTTTTGGTTTTGTTTATCATTAGCCAATTCTTATTAATTTTAGGAGATCTAATTATCATCTTAGGCAGTTAAAAGTCCAATAAATTTGATTGAAAGAGTCGTGGCATTTGTCTGAATAAATTTTTTCAATGAAAACCTTTCGAGAGGGATTTCTCTCTCAAAAGAACTATACTTCTCCATACTTCTTGCTGTGGTTTTGTGTGCATATCCTTCTTCAAAAGATAGAATCTTCTGAGAAAAGAAGGGGAAGAGGATATGGTAGAAGCCAAAAGGAAACTGGGATCATAACACCCAACTGTGGTATGAACCCATATAATGTTGGCTTAAATAATTGTAGTAAAGCATTCAATAACAGATGAAGAGACTAAAAAGCTATAAGGAACAATTCCATATGTTGAATGGGGAAATAGTATGGGAATGTCGGACTTCCTATAATATATGGATTATGGTCCTTATTTGATGTTGGGACTGATTTAGGACAATATTTATGCAAGAATAAATAATATTAATTCCTTCTTGTATGTTTCTTTATATTTAAAAGCTGTTGGATGTACTTAATTTTCAGCTTCCTTATATTACAAGTGTCAGGCATTTTGGCAATATCCTGGTTTGCTAAAAATTACAAGTTTTGAGTCTAAAAGTCATTTTTTAGATTTTGCTTATGCTAAAAGATTTTTAATTTATAGCTTAATGTTGCTTTAAGTCAGTTTGTTAGCTCCCTATTTGATAAGTCCTTGTTTGGCTGGGAATGGCAGAAGCCTGTGCATATGAGAGTAGTCAGTCTATAGGAAAATGAAACTCGCCTGATGATTGATGAAGCAATGAACCCCAGGTATCAAATAAAGGAGCTAGGCATAAGCTTAGTGATTTCTTTGCCTTTGCTTGTTTATTCAATTTTTTGTACTCTTCACTAGGAATTCACCAGAAGATCATTCCACGAAACCCTAAAGTCTACTGTTCTAAAACCCCAACTTACACCTACATTAATCAAACATTGAAGCATAATGCAAAACCAAAATTATTTTTCACAAGTACTGCTCACAGTACTTGAATTACAGCCCTTTATCCCTTATTTTCTGCTCTCAACCTCAACCCTATCATAACTCTATACAAGCCCCACCTATCGTCCTTTAACTAAATCTACAAATAATCTCAATTTTTAATCATTTAGCTGTTTTCATCATTGGCACATAGTACATACCTCTTGCAACTGTGATAGAGCCTTTCCATCATAGAACAAGTCAATGATGATGCCTGAATATTAATTGTTTGCACAAGTTAGGAACAAAGGGGTAACAAGGCCAACATCATGCTTTAGCTCAAAATGTAGCTGCTAACTGGTATAAAAACATAAAGCCAGAAATTAATAGCTGTTTTGAGATCATCATAACAAAGTACTTGATCAAATAAGCCTCCACCGGGTTATTTCCAGGTAGGTAGTGTGTAAAATGCAACCATCTATGCAGGAGAAACTCAGAGTGTGTGTGTTTGTGTGTATTTTGATCTTAGAAAGTCAAATTAGCATGTTTATGCATAAAATTAAAACTGAAATCTCACCGGCATAGCCTGCAGGAAGATGCTGTCTAGGTGAAAAAGCATCATCAATGTGAACTTCAAGCCTGCCACCAACTTTATTACACCTCTCAAGATTGGATAGCCCAAAATATTCTCTTGCTTTATCAATTAACTATAGTACAAACAGTTATCCATCCATCAAGAAAGGAATGAATTGAGAGTGGAATGTTCATTGTTTTAAATATGATTTTGGTTTAAATATTTACACACCTGAAAAGATAATTAACAAATATAGCAGCAAAACCAAGACGCCTCTTACTCACCGAAACAAATCCCACCTTATTTAATTGCTCTAAGTGTCATGGAAGGAAGGGAATGGAACTATGATGCATAAAATAAACAGATCCCTGCTCGAATGAGTCAAAGAAAGGGAGAAATGCAGCTACTTGTAAACCTGCCGTTTTAGCATTCCAAGAGAGTTAATAACTTAATATTCCAATTTATATTAATAATTTTAGACTATCAAGTGTTTTAAACTACGTTGCTCTGACTCTTCCTTTTTCTTTAAGTACCCATGTCTGACACTTCTGACAAACATGGATATGGAGGTCCGACCCTCCAAAGATATGGAAAAGCTTAAGAAAAATCTAAGCATACTTGTGTTCAACATATACCCATATCCAAGACTCAACCCTGAGCCTATGTAACATAGGTTTTAAAGAGTCATCTAGGAAAATAAATTAACCCGTAAAAGTTGAGTTCAATGCATTCAAACAAAATTCAAATATATACCAAAAAAGAGAAAAGAACCATAAAATAAGTTTCCATTTTCATCTTTCTTTTTTTTTTCAAGAAACATAGTGATACACTTAAATGGAGTCACACGATTTATTGTTGTTGAATCAAGGGCGTCTCTTCTGCAAATAACAGTTGCCTTTTATAAAACCTTTCCTCTCTGTTTGCTTCCCTTGTGCTGCACATCCTAGAACATGCAAAATCCTATAATCTTGGGTGCAAAACTCTCAACCAATTAGAGGTATCATGAGAGGTCATGGCAATTGTTGCTTTCAGCCATGCTGATGTGTCATGTCTGTTTGCTAAAACACAAGATACTGGTGGAAATTTACTTTAGAACCTAAAACTTCAAAATATCAAACCTTCTCTCTCTCTCTCTCTCTCTCTCTCTCTCTCTCTCTCTCTATATATATATATATATATATATATATATATATATATGCATTATCAATTTTCTATAATGTTCCTGTAGATATCCTTGTATTTTAGTATAAAAGCCTCGTATGGTCTACTGCAGTCAAGAACACGTTTCAAATTAGGAAACAAAATCAACAATGAGATTGAAACCTTATGAAGCCAACTTTAGTGAAACTCTTACTAGCAGTTCTTATTCCTCTAAAACAAACTCACATCCAAACTGATATAAGGCCTCATTCAGCACAATGGTGATGGTGAGATCAATAGTACAGTGGTTAGATTGAAATTAATGATGAGACAAAATGTGTTTCACAAAAACCGGCGGTGGTGGCAAGATGAGATTTGGTGAGGAGAAAAAATGACTATAAGGGACATAGATAAAGTTGGTATATTGTGTATAATTTTAGTTTGTAATACATTTGACATTTACTTTTCATCCCAAATTATGCTTTTATGACCCAATTGAGGTTTGAGGATGTGCATTCTATTTGGATTGAGAGAGATGGAGAGGAGAGAATCAGCTAGATTCCTCCTATTGAGTGCATGGGAGAGAAGTTAACACAAGAGAAGAGAAATAACTCCTTGAAATACCTCTTGTAAGTCACTTCCCAAGTCACTCAAAAGTGGAGTGATATGGAGAGAAATAAAAGCAACAACTAATTGGCATCAGTGATGTGGAGAGAAATAGAACCCCTTTCATTCATACAAAGACACCATGCTTCTCAAAATAATATTTCCCTGAAATCTTATGCACATTATTAGATATTTTGTTTCTTAGATTTAGAGTTTCGGAAATTCTAAATAAGCAATGGACTCTAAATTATGCACATTCCTATGTCGGATTAGGGCAAAACCCAAACATATTATTGGTCAAATAGGAGACTTACGGCCAAAAAAAAAATCAAGAACATTAATTATATTTGTAAATAGGAAAAGGGGAATCATGAGTCAAAATATTGTACCGTTAGAACAGTTATAATGATACTAAACTGGACAATTTATGCGCTTGTCAACATAATTTATCCTTACTATTTCATCAATCTCCCAACCTTGAAGCTGCAATGAAGGCCACACGTCAAGCATCAGATGTGCAGCTGTTCCACCGCCCTAGAATATAACATGAACTTCACAAATAAATGCACTAGTTCAAATTGGTCATATCTATTTTCAATTTAACAAGAACCAAAATCCAGGTCAGGTAAGATCAAATGTATTACCAATCCGTAGATTGCAATGGGACCTTCAGGAACAATAGGTGGCAAAGTAGCGAATTCGTCCTAATATTGGAAAGAAAACGGGGTTCAGCAAATCTTATTTCCCACACACACTGTAGATATGTCCTAGATAGAAACATCTTATCTGATGATCAATTTCAACAGGTAGGCAATTACAATCGCAAAATCAATGGCTCCAAAACAAAAGCAGATTACATGTTTAAATTAGGAATTAAGAGGCTTCACAACATACCCAATATGATCCAGTCCATTTCTCATCACCTTTTTGCAGAACGCTATGGACATTATCTGCATTAGGAAATAATGAATCAATCCACCTAAAATCGAGTGACTAATAAATGTTAAAAAAAAAAAAAAAGAAAGCGTACGAGTGGAATCGAGTAGCAGCATCCTGGATTTAGGAGTGTCGACGATGACAATGTCATTGTATTTACTCTTAACGGCTGTCAGCACTTGAAACGTTTCTTCTTCTTCTGGAGTTTCTTCGTCTTGTTTAGTTAAGTCACTTTTTGTACAACAACAAGGACGACAAGTGGATGAAGAGCGTGACTTAAACGTAGTAGGAGGAAGCGGAGGGAATATTCCAGGGCGATGGGCCGATGTTAGTGCTATCGGCTTGTATGAAAGTACCAATGAAAACCAAAACATTTTGTTTTTGTTTCACCGTATAAGATATTCAGATGAGATTGAAATTTCACAACCAAATATTCTCAGTTATCTTTTCTTATCCGCTATCTGTTTTCCGCTTCTATAACTTGTTTGTACAGTGAAGGGGACACCGACCAATACAGATGGACAGAATGAGGGCAATGCTAAAGAAATTCCGTACAGTGACACGACAGAAACAATAAAAAATAAGATATGAATATTATATGATTTAAAATTTTAATAATAATTATATATATATATATATTTAATAAAAATAAAAAATATAATATTAATAAAAATTATTATATATAATTTTTATATAAAATATAATATAAATATATAAATTTTAATATTTTATATAATAAATATATACTAGCTGTCAAATTTTTTTGGTAAAAAAAATTTGTAATAGATAAGTTGTTTAATCTTCAAATCAAAGTAAAATACGTCACATCTGATAGGTGATTGTAAATTGTACATTTGAAATGATTTCAATAAATGATCATTAATGAAATTCAAATTTAAAATTTTTTCATCAAAAAAAATAAATTTTAACTAATTGAACCAACTACCTGTTAATCACTAACTACCAAATTTATTTTATATCTTCTCGTCAATTGAAATTTTTACTTAATTTAGGAGCTTTCTTATATTTAAGCCAAAATTAAAGTTTTAATAAAATTCAATTTTTTATTAAACTCCTTGAAGGAAAAACAAGATTTTAAAAAAGTGAGTCTGATTATAAAAATTTAAAATAATTAAAATATTATAAAATTTTTACTTTTTTAAATTCTTTTAATAAACTTGTATCATTTTATTGTATTTTATTATATTTTAAAGTATTATTTTTATTCAATAAAAATTTTGTTTTAGATAAAAATCAGGAAAATCTATTACATAAATAGAATTTAATTAAATAAAAATAGTACTTAATTTGATAACTATATTATTTTAAGGGTTCAATTATACAAAAAAATACTTATCTAAAAATTTGCAATAAAAATTAAAAAATCTCTTAATTAAATTGTTTAATTAAGCACAATATAAACCATAAGACTTGTCTAAAAAGTTTTTAAAATTATAAATTTTTTAGTATTTGTCATTAAAGTATCTATATGCTTGGTTCGATTATTTCACTGAAATTAATCTTCAAAATATATTTTTTAAAAAATGTTTATATTTTTTGAAAACATAAAGAATTTTTATTATTTAAATGAGTTGATGAAAAATGTTTTTTATTATTTGATTATTTTTTAAAAATTAATTTTAGTTGAATAATATTAATATGACTATTAAAATATTAAAAATCATTTATTATTAAAATATATTAAAATCATTTATTATTAAAATTATTAAATTTCAAGAATAATTGTATTTTAATAGTAATATTTAATATTAAAATCTTATATTAATATAAAATACTTAAAATAAAACTATTTATTAATTTTTATATTAATATTTAAAATAGTATAACTATTCTGAAAATATTATTTTTATTAATATTAAAATATTAATATTTATTATTAAAGTATTATATTTTATATTAAAAGTATCTATTATTAAATTATAACAAAAATCTTTTAGTTATATGTATTATTAAAATAGTAATATAAATAGCGTAATAAATAAAAATATAAAATTATATTTTAAAAAAAAAGAAATTATTAAAAATATTCCTATTAAGAAAATAATATTATTATAGTATTTAACAATAATTATTTAAATAATAAAAATATTATTATATATGTTATTATTTATTATTAAAATAATATAATCCTATTTATTATTGAAATACTAAAAATATTTATATTTAAAAATATATAAAATAAAATATTTAAAATTGAAATATCAAAGACTTTTAATATTAATATTTTAATTTTTAAATTAGAATTAAATAAAACATTTTTATTGATATAATAATATTTTAAATCTAATTAAATCAAATTAAAACTTAAAATAATATGTTCAAAGTCGTACTTAAGTAAAATTATAAAAAAAAATTTAAAATTAAAATATTAAAAGACTTTTAATATTAATATTTTAATTTTTAAAATAAAATTAAATAAAAATATTATGTATTACTGTAATAATATTTTAAGTCGGGTTAAAGTTTACAAAAATCATATATATTGTCCGATTTAATTAAAATTATACTCAAACATATTAATAAATAGTTCCGTTAGCTTGGAATTGATTCTATTTTGAAATGACAAAACATTAAGTTAAATAAGCTTCACCAAGATTTTGAAAAAGATTTATTTAGTACATATTCTTAAGTTTTATATTTTGGTACTAAATAAATAATATATTTTTCAAAGTATAAACAAAACATTTCTTTGTTTTCATATTTTTCAAACAAAATATATCTTTAAAGATTATTTATTTGAGCTTAAATGAAAGTCCAATTATTGTTTTTAAAGTGAATTTATTCATTTTAGACTTAATACAATTTTAATAATATTGATTTTGAAAAATAGATTAACATAAGAAAGTTATTTTACAATAACAAAGTTTTCTAACATTGAACTTATTTTATTTTTTATATTAATTCACAAAACTTTAATATTTAAATTTATATAGTTGGAAAGCTCTTTGAGGATCAAACAAAATCAAAATTCAAATTTTTAAGAAAATATTTTGAATTTTTACAAAGCATTTTATAGTTGTCTAAAAACTGTACAAGGGATAGATTTGAAAATTCACTATAATTTGTAAATAATGAATTAGGTGATGAATTTTATAATTTTATATGAATAGAAATTCCTTTAAGTCTAGTTTCTAAATCTTCAAATGGTTTGTGATTTGAATTTGTATAACTTAAGATATGATTAAATTAGTAAGTAGAGTACAAAATAAAATACAACAGAGCAGCTTGATCGAATTGATCCACTGGATTACAAGATTGATCCCTTAGTTGACCCAATCGATCGGGTATCAAAACCAATCGATCTTTTTTCAATTGATCGGGTACCTAAACCAATCGATTCTCTTTGTTGTAATGATTAAAATTGAGTGAAATTCAAGAACCAATTGATCCCCTATCGAACCAATCGATCCTCTATCAATATCAATCGATCCTGTCATCTCAAACAAGCTCCAACGGCTAGTTTCAAAAGAAGAAAAACATGGTTTTTCACTTTCCAAGCATTTCCAACAGCTATTTCCTTAATTTCTCTATAAATTGGGTATTCCAATACACCAAAAAAGTTGATAAAGCAAAAGAGCAAGTGCTAACAAGTTATATTTTCATTTTCTTTTAGAATCAAGAATTTTAAAACTTAAATTCAATATCCTTTGTATTTCTAGTATCCAAAATATTACAGTGTTTTTATTCATCATTTTTTTTATACTTTATTAGGCAAACACTCAATCTTGAGAGGTATTTTAGTTTACAAAAATTATTTGAGTTATCTTATGAGTAAGATGTGAGGTATCCTCTTGATATTGTAAGGGTAGAGGTTGGTATCTAAGCCTTGAGAAAAAGATAGAGATTTAATATAATGTAAGTTTGTATCATATAAAATTTTTTCTTCAATTAGTAAATTGAAGCCTTGGTATGAATAACCAAGAGAGAGGATGTAGGTGCCTTGCAGAGAATGACCGAACTTCTATAAATCATTGTGTTTGATTTCTCTATTTTTATCTTCTTATAATTTATTGTTGTTTATATTTAATTTTAAGTTTATTAATTATTATTATTTACATTATATTTTCATAAAAATATTTATTGTTTTAATTTTCATTCGATTATATTGAAATTATTTGTTTGAAAAAAATTTGAATAAATCTAATTTACTCTCTTTTGGATCATCATCTCACCTAAAAAATTAATAAATTCTATTCATAAATAGTTTTTTTAAATTATATTCTTTTTTTCAAAAGCGTAAGATAATTTTCAATAAACAATTATCTTATTTTTATTGATCAATAAATTAGTTTTTATTAACCAATTAATTTTTCATAAAACAAATTTCTAAAAATATAAAAGTTAATTTTTATAGAACAAACAAGTTTATGTTTAAAAGTCAAAGTTTTGTGCATTAAATGAGATTGGCTTAATTACACATTTGACGAAAACTATAAAATTAGAAAACGAAAAATATATGTACTAATAATAAGGTTAAAATATTAATTTATTTTTCTACAAATTGGAGAGATAATCTAATCTTAAAATCCACTACCTTCCATTTTTTTCTTGTTATAAAAGTTTATATGACAAAAATTATATTTATAGTTATTCCACATTTTTCTGTTTTTTATATCTTTACAAATATATACCAAAAGTATCTTTGTCTTTTAATTTTTTTTTAAAAATATAAGTTAGATTTAAATATTTTAAATTTATTACTCCTTTTGTCTCATAAATAATGTCTGTGTTGGTTTTTTTTTTCCTTCAAAACTTTTCAATTTTGATTATTTATATTTTTAATATTCAATTAAACTAAATTTTTATAAAAATATGTTTGAAAATCCCTTCATTCAAGGTTTTAAAAAGTATTTTTTATATTTTACTTAATAATATATTTAAAATGATACCATAATCCGTATTCTCTTCTAACTTCTAAACAACCGTTAGTGCATTTATACATTTTCTTCTCTTTCATATTTAAATGATTGTAATTTAAAAATAAATAAAATTTTCTTAATAATAAATTATTAAAAAAAAAAAGGTTTTTACAATGACATTTCCACACATTTCCCCAAAAGAAAAGTTTAGGAAAGGTTAATTAGAAATTTACAAAACAGTATATAAGAAAAATAATTTTAATTGGGATCCATCCCATGGCCGTCACTGGTATCAACGATCAAGTATTGACGGCTGCGGAAGAATAAAGTAGAAATATGCTAAGGCAGAGTATTGAAAGGGTGATAAAGAGGAATGCCCCAAAAGAGAAGGCAGAGTGTGTTGTGATTGGAGCCGGAATCGTGGGATTGGCAGTGGCCAGAGAGCTGTCGTTGAAGGGGAAAGAGGTGTTGGTCCTGGACTCTGCCCCCACCTTCGGAACAGCCACCAGTTCCCGCAACAGCCAGGTCATACATGCTGGCATCTACTATCCTCCCAATTCTCTCAAGGCTCGTTTTTGTGTGAGAGGAAGAAACTTACTCTATCAATACTGCTCTCAGCGTGGGATACCTCATAAGCAGATTGGCAAGCTGATAGTTGCAACTGGACCTTCGGAGATTCCAAAGTTAAATCAGCTGTTCAATCGTGGGATACTAAATGGGGTTGAAGGTCTTCGGATGTTGGACGCTTCTGAGGCCATCAAAATGGAGCCTGAATTGCACTGTGTCAAAGCCTTGCTGTCCCCTGCCTCTGGCATTCTGGATTCCCATTCTCTAATGCTGTCTTTAGTGGTATGCATCTCCATTCAATTTCATTTCATTTCTTTTTGTTTTTGTGTGAAAAAACGTAATTAATAGTACTAACCACCACCAGGCTCCAGGGGGAGGCTGAAACTAAGGGCACCACCTTCTCTTACAATACCACTGTCATTGGAGGTCATCTTGAAGGAAATCAAATGGCCCTCCACGTTTCTGAAACCAAAACTCTTGCAAACTGGGATGGAAATACTCCATTGCAACCGGACCTCATACTTATTCCTAAATTTGTAGTGAATTCTTCAGGCTTGAGTGCTCCTGCTCTGGCTAAGAGATTCCGTGGTCTAAACACTGCTACTATTCCTCCTGCATATTATGCTCGTGGTTCCTACTTTACCCTTTCAAATTCAAATTCCACTAGGCATCCTTCCTTCAAACATTTGATATATCCTATACCAGAGGAAGGTGGCCTTGGAGTGCATGTCACTCTGGATTTAGATGGCCAGCTCAAGTTTGGCCCAGATGTTGAGTGGATTCATCATGTACCTGATACAACCAGCTTCCTTAATAGGTATTGGTAATCTTTTCTTTTCACAATCCAATTTTTTTTACGATGATTTAGGTGATATACTTGCTTTTCTGCGCTCGGTGTCATGACCCTGATTTTTCTATAATTTTGTTTGTTTACTACCTATAAAAGTTCCAAAATATGTAGATATGTACTTCTTCAAATAACCTGACTACAGTCCCATGTAGAGGCATATGCGTTTTGCTACCATGTTTTCCTACCTTAAAGGATTATGATCATAAGGGTGGGGTTGCTTCAGTTTGGAGGGTCAAAAACTTCTATCCTACGGTAGAAGGTGCCATTTCCCTTGAAGGTATATTCAGAATAACAGTAAATACATGCTAGTGAGTAATTTGGATTAAAATCATTGTGGGTTTTTCTTTTCTTTTATTTTCTTTATTTTTTCATTCTTTTGTTGGTTGGCAATGGAAATATGCCATACATGAAAACCATCCCAGCAACAAGTAGGTTTGGCTTGTATCATTTGTTTCTACTGATGCTGTGCTTAAATTCTTTCTATCCAACGGTATTTTTTGCTTTGTATCCATCTCTATGCTAGGTGCCCTTTTCCTTTTAAGATTTCATGTCCTCTTTGTTTCTTTCATTGAAATTTGATGATAAGTTGTTATTGCTATTATTCTATTTCTTCTTCTAGTGCCACCTTCCTTTCATTAACAGTCATTTTTTTGTGTTAAATTAGATTGGCAGTCCCTTTCTCCTGCTTTTTCCTTTTAAAGTGGCCAATGTCCTAAGCTAATATAGTGGTTGGAAGAAATCTTTTGATGTCTAAGTTAGCAGAATACTTATATCATATGAAGTTTCTTTACATGTCATTGATGTTCAGAAAGTTTGTCTACTATCATGATTCCATTCAAGCAACTCTTTTTGAGTCAGAACATTCTCCGGTTAGAACTTTTTGAACCAAGTAATTGCATTGCGTTATGCTTCTCTTGGCTTTGTTTGAGCAAAAGCACTCCATTCTGTGTCCAATTGTACTGGAAGTGGAAATCTGACTCTTGGAATAGGGTTGTTGTAAAAGAAACTCAATAGCAGATAGTGGAATAAATTTTATTCAAAGTTTTACTAGTAATCTGTTACATTGAGGAAGTCTGTACTGCATGTGATTTTTCCTGTGTTGGAGTCAGGACACCTGTACTGGGTGTCGGCATGAGTGGACGGTCACAAGAATTTTATTGATTTAGTTGCTGAGTGTTGGTTGGTAGGTTGATGAACCCTCTTTCTCAGGTTAACATTAAAATTTCAATTTCAATTACCATTATATTTTTCATTAAAGAGAGGATGAGTGGGGGGTGTAGTGATTGGAGCCATTACATCACTAGGTTTTTTATGGCTCTACCAATGCATCGAAGCATTCTTGAAATAAGAAATAGAACAATATTTTATCTTTTGAACTTTAAAAAGCATTTTGAGTTAATTTCAGGTAAGGTTTTTTTTTTTTTCCCCATAATTTCAGCTAAGTTAATTGCTGCATTTGTTGCATAAAAGCAACTGATTCAGGTGTTAGTCCTTTGCTGAACATAATGTATGTGCTTGTATCGTGAAAGATGTTGTCATGTGGTCAAAAACTAAGCTTAGTGGGTCCCTGCCTCCAGGTTTAAATATTCTGTAAGTGCTGAGCGTGTTTTAAGATTTTATCCGGAGATTCGAAAGTACTACCCAAATCTCAAAGATGGATCTCTACTACCCGGTTATGCAGGGATTCGACCAAAACTTTCTGGACCTGGACAGCCTGCCTCTGATTTTGTAATACAGGTTTGTTTCGTGTACGCTCTTTAATATGAAGTATTAAAATTGATGTATAAGTTTGTGTAGCCATATGCCTGAATTTCATGTACTATGAAGTATTAAAATTGATATATAAGTTTGTGTAGCCAAGGATGGATCCAAATTTATTATATGATATATTTACTTAAAATTTTTTTTAATGCAAAGATAATGTTTTCTAAATGTAAAATGAACTTTTAATAAAAGAATTTAAAATATTTCTTACAATATCAAATATATAAAAAGTTTAAATAAAAATTAATATAAATATAACAAAAACTTATAATATTAAATACATCGAATATTTAAATGTCAAATAAACACAAACACATAATATTGTTATTTTTCAAATGAAAATAGCACTATATGATTGAGTTGAATAGTTTTCATAGATAAAAAATGTAAAATTTTCTTTTTCATTGTCAATATTAAAATATATATATCTTTATTCGATTTCGAATATTTTCTTTAAAATTTACTTTCTCTTACTAATGATATTTTTCCTTAACTAATTTAAATCAAATACTAATTTAATTTCTCTATAGTTTATAAGACATAAGATAAGATATGAAAATACAAAATAAAACCAACAACATGATACTTTTATATATATTTAACTTTTTGAATAATTTTAAAATTGATGCTGGTTTTTTTTATCTTTCTAAATTTTAGGTTGTTAGATTACATCTCTACAACTTTGTTAGAATACATCTCTACAACATTATTTTACATCAAATATATATTATTAAAAATTTTAAATAATATTAAATAAATACCTTATTACATTATCAATATAAAAGAAAAACAACAAGAGAAGAAAGTACTTTGATATGTTAAAAATGAATTTTTATATTATGAGTGTTTTGTTGTAGTTCTATTTTAGCCATTTTCTATATTTTACTATACAAGATTATTTTAGCTTTAATTGTGGTTTTTTTTTTTCGTTTTTACAAATATTTTATCATTTTATGCTTGACTTGGACATTTTTACAATAATATTTCATATAAGCTAAAAAATGAATTCTGCAAATAAAAAGAGAGGAGAATAAGAGGCGAAAGAGAGAAAAGTAATACTAAGTTGTGACTTAAGTTAACTAAAGTGAGACTTACATAAAATAATTATTTATAAGCCAAAATTTATTAATATTTACATATAATACTTTATTTTCTTTCGAAATGAGTCAATATTTTTTTTTAAAGTATATCTATACTTTATAATATTTTAAATCTATTCCCTTTATATTTTTTCCTCTTTCAATTTAGTGGGGCAAAATGTAAATATATTAAAACTTTTGTCTAATATCATAATATGCTTAAAAAGGGTTTTAGGATTTCAATGGGGCCAGTTGTCCCCCACTGCCCCCAATGTAAATCCATCCCTGCGTGTACCCATATGCCTGAATTTCACGTATGGTACAAAAAGCTGCTTTTTTTTTTTTTTTGGAGAAAAGCTACCTTACCTGCAGAATTTTTTTCTAAAAAAGGATTGCAAGATAAATTACATCTGGACCCAGGTTAGCATTTAGGCAATTGTTTATCCACAATTTATGATTGGTGAGAAACTTAGCAAACAAATGACAACCAAGCCTTTCTCACTACTTGCATAAGCTAAATGGACTAGCTTTATCTTTTATACTTTATTTTGATCCATCGAGTTAGAGCATTAAGTTTGTAGTCCTATTTAATAGTTTAACTTCTATTCCTTCTCAAGTGCATGTGAAGAAGGATCCAGTTGATAACCAAGTGGTTCATGAACCCAAAGACTTAGAACCAATTCTTGACATGCTCAAACGAAGAGTCTGCCATTGTTGAGCCTAAGGATTGCAAAGTTATTAAGCCACTCGAAGAATTAGAAGTACAACCTAGCTTTAAAACTGAAGTTAAGACCTAGATATTGGGTTTGAAAATTTAGAGACCGAGTTTAAAGTGGTTCAAACAAATAAGAAATTAGTGAGCTGCTACCTAGTTAGGCTTCTACCATTGACATTTTCTTCCAAAGACAGACGTCAAGCTCATTGTTTTTAATGAAACTTCTTCCATTGATTTCATCATTGCAAGTGTCCTCAAGAATGTGTTGCTAGTTGTTTTGTTTAAGGTGTTTGTGCGACAATGAAGTTCATGTTTGACAGTGGTATTCATGGATCTTGGTGGAAATGTCTTCTGCTTTGATTTTTCCAAAGTTGAGGTTGAGTTTTCTCCATCCAGTGGAGAATGATGGAGGATGGTAATATTTTAGTTGAGAGATTAAGTTATTAGGGGCTTTATTTTATTTATTAGAGTTGACTTATATTGTCTATTTTTAGGTTATTTTATATTAATTAGTAGTTTGTATAATCTCCAAGTAGCAGTGTTTAGGGTTATATTTGGTATTTTTCAGGCTTTTACCTTTGGAATTTGGCTTACAAATATTTATGCTATTTTAGTTTCAATTAAGTTTTTAGTGATGAATATTGAGATTTTGAGATATTGAGTACAGTCATTTTCTTCTCTAGCTCTAGTTCTTCCTAGATTTTCTCTATTCCTCCCTAACAGCTTCTTTCTTCTTTTTATTTTCCCTCTAAATTTCTATTTTTTATCCCTTTCCCCTAGTTGTTCTGCATTAGCTTGATAGCTAAAATTCTGTTGAAAAATTTTTGGATCATGCTAATTATCATACCTAGTCAGACTTTTGTGCAAGCATTAAATGCATCAAAAGTGTGACCCAAAATGCTAGTTCCGGTTGATATGCTTCAAATCTGTGTTACCTTAATAGACATTTGTTGATTTAACTATGCTTTAATATTTTAAAAGTAGGCTTTTTAAACTTGGTGCTAACCTTATATGTTAATCACTTTAAGGAGCAGACTTTGTTTGTATTTCAGACAAATACCCATTAAATAGTAAGAGGAATGTGTGCATTGTGCCCTATGCTGTTAATACTTCATGAATAAAAGTATAATTGCTTCATTTTCGTTGTTTCATAATTTTTAGTTGATCTATTGGAGATTTAAATACTAATGACACCCACCTGTATCTTGTGGCAAGGACTCAAGTTTGTTTTCTCTACATGCATGTTATTATCATTGCTTCTCTTTATTTCTAAGAATATATTTCATAAATTCATGTTAGAAAATTTTGATAAAACCAGATCAAATAGACTAGTTGTTTTTTTTCTCTGCTAAATGTGATGTTTTAAAGGGTTATCAATCTACCAAAAGTCCCCAAATGAATTGTGGATGCTCTTATATATAAGTCTTAAAGACAAGAGTTGCAAATCATGGATATTTTATAAGCATGATGGTGCCTCCAATGAGGCACTGGTTTAGTAGCAAGGAGGAGGCCTTAGAATGTTGAAGTCATAGATTTAAGTCCCACTGTGTGAGTTTAATTGTTTAGTTATATTCTAATTTGTTTTAGATTGTTGAGTTTGATAATTGATTATTCAATGATATATTATATATAGATGAAATAGTTGAGTTGATTATGATTGTAATTTATAAATTCTCTTATACTTGTAATTTTTTTTTTTTTTTAAAAAAGCATGATGGTAGAATTTGACAATGACAACGTTGTTAATGCTTTGTCCAATGGGAGTTTAGGTACTTGGTGATAGAGATTTAAATAAAATGGTGGTATCTACAATTTTTTTTTTTTTTAGGAAAGATAAATGCATTCTTTTATTGGTTTAGAGTGGATTTGGGTCTGTTTTGGCTATTTTGAGATACATTGGTAAGATATAGTTTCTAATTTTCTGTAGGGAGAAGGCATTCATGGAGTGAGTGGTCTTGTAAATCTTTTTGGAATTGAGTCACCCGGACTGACTTCAAGCATGGCGATTGCAGAATATATAGCTGTTATGCTATTAGGAGGATGATGAAGATTTACTCGAGTCAAAGCAAGCAACTTAATGGTGCCCACCCAATGCTAGGGGTAAAATTTTTATTTTCTTTTTCCTCCTAAACGTTTGTATCTTATCTTATCAAACTTGATGTTGAAACATAACAAAAATAAACAAATTAAAAGGAAAAAAAAACAAACTTTATATATATATATATGTATATTCTCCACTTAAAAGGAGTCTGATTTGAATCTTATTTCAATTGAAATAAATAAAGAGGGTTAGGAACCAAATTTACTACTTCAGTTTGGTGGTTTATTTTTATCCTAATAGGAGATGAAATCTAATTTTATTGACGTAAGAAAATTTAATTTTATTGAGATGAGATATAAACTAACCATTATACTTACATGGTTGGTTTCAATTTGTCACTAATTTTATGATTAGTTCAAATTTGTCATCATACTTTTCAATTATGAATCAAATTTACCATCATAATTATAATTTTAGAGTAATTAGAAAATATTTGGTTGGAAGCCGTTTTATAATTAAAAATAATTTTAAAAATAATATGGAAAGGGAAAAATAGGGATAGGAATGGTAGCCAATAATAATTTAGATATTTGTACCAGAATTTCAATACCAAATTCAATATTTGTATCTTACCCGAACCCATTTAGTAATATCACATTAAAACCCGATTAAAATCTCAACCCTTTTATTTAGTTAAAAATGATACTTGTATCCATTGCAAACATTTTATCCAACCGGTCCAATTTTATCATTATATTTTTAATTATAAATCAAATTTACCATCGCATTTTATAATTTTAGAGTAATTAGAAAATACTAAGTAGAATATTTGGTTAAAAGTTGTTTTATAGTAGTTAAAAATAATTCTGGAGAGATAGAATGCTCATTATGTCAACTTAAAAAAAGATTAAGATAATTTATAAAACTATTGATAAAAGAGAATGTCGTGAGATAAAATAATAATGACATCATGTTCCTAACAAGCTATCCTAGGTTATTAAAATGTGTGGGGACATGAAGTAATTTAAAAGTTTACAAAACCAAGAAATTAAACAAGTATTGGCAATAGAGTAGTGACAATAATTTGATTAATGTTGATAGAGTTATATATATATATATATATATTATGAAGAGTTCTTACTTTTTTTTTTTTTTTTAATTTCATTATCTGAAAGCATTGGGATTGATTTGCTTGCTAATGAAAATATAAGCTTAAAACCCGATGTCAGCATGATTGGTTCAACAAGTCAAAAGATGTTTTAGAGAATTCTTGAAAATACTTAATCACTTAGTGTATACCTACTCCAACTAGGCTTGAGAAATATTTTATGACAATAAATTTACTAATAGATTATAAAAATGATCACATTAAATAGTACAAAATATTTACATATATAAATAATATAAGATTTTCTGTTATTGTATATAGTTCATATGTACACAAAAAAAATCGTATGAAACATATATGAATCTTGAGATTTAATACACAAAAAGCCTACTAAAATCTTCCATCTTGTTAAAGAAAAGTTATATAATATCATCAAACTTAAAGTTACATTTGGTACACAAGATTATAATAAGATAAGTTAAAATAATATTATGAATAGTGTTAGTACAAACATTAAAAATCTGAAATTACTACTTATAGTAAATTTAGAATTTTAAGGAAAAAATGCTCCAAGACGTGTAACAATGTCATTTTCCTTAAGATTTTATTTGCTCCCACTGGATTATTTATTTAGTAGGTGTGCAAAAAAGCTGCAAGTAATGAACACTAAAGATGCAATGAAGCTTAGTGATTGAGTACTCTTTGCACTAACGAAATCAGTCCATCGAGTATTCACTGATGTATTATAAGATCACTGAACTTTTACGAAAGTTTTTTACAAAAAAACTTTTATAAAAAAAAATATGGAGTTTAAAAAAAGAGGGTGAGTTTCGAAATTATTTCTATTTGTTTTTTAGAAAACTAGAGGAGCTTCTTTTATAAACAGATAAGTGTTTCTTTCTCCTACAAACATAATTATCTATTTAAATAGACTGAAACTGTCTGTTTTTGAACAATTAAAACTGTTTATTTTAAACAAACTTATCTGTTTATTTTATACAAACTTACCTCATTCTTTATTTTCTTGTCTATTTGAGGTAGATTTTAATCAATCAGACACTTATAAGCTTTAAATAAAATAAAATTTTATAAACTTTAAATAAAATAACATTTTATTACTATATTGCACATGCCAGTGTCAAGTGCCAAGTGTCATTAATTAAATATTAATATATAGTAATTATTTAATTAATGCAAGACCAACCAAACTTGAAAAACCAAGTCTATGGTCCAACTATAGTGAACTTTTACTCATTTTAATTTAAATAACTATTTTATCATTTCCTTTTCCAACATGGGATTATTTCCTATATTTTATTTTGAAAATCTTTAATAATCCCCCAACTATTTTCAAAATAATCCAAATTTATAATGACATTGAAAATCAATTGCATAAATAAAGGTATCTTCCGATTTGAACTTTCACTTAGTGAAAACAAGTTAAAGTTAACTGAAATCGCATGGTAGATTATGCTTTGAACTAGCTATTCCATTTGATTAATTGAACTTGCCTCACACAATGATTTCAACACCCAATGAATGCTTGGTATTTGATGACACATTATAGCAATGTGTTTACATCTTCTTTTCATGAGTACTGTTAGAGCCAAGCTCTTAAGCTCCTAAAAGTGGTCACATTTCACACTCACATAGGTAGCTCTCATCAAGAATATTCTATAACTATAATACTCTAAGATATTTAATTAGAGGTCTATTAAAAGTATATTACTTGTCCTTCCATTACAATTATAAGTACCTAGCACTTTACTTGGAATGGCATTAAACATTACTATAGTGCTAGTAGTCACATACAGATGATGTACTTTATTTTATTGAACTAAAGACTTGACGTTATACCAAGCGTTGAGTTGACTTTCCATCATGGGTAACTTTGCTTCATAAGCTTAATCCCTATCCTTATTGATGTCTTTTTTATCAATTCTTTAGCAAGACTTTTAGTTAGAAGATCGTGCAAATTTCATTTAACCTTACATAATTTTTAGTGATCACTTCATTTGAAATTAATTGTTGAACATAGCTATGTCTTAATCCAATATATCTAGACTTTCCATATTATACTTGGTTATTTGCCTTTGCTAAAGTTGCTTCACTATCATATTGGATAAAAATTGAGAAAATTGGTTTAGGCCATAAAGGTACTTCATATAATAAATTCCTTAGCCATTCAGCTTCTTTAGTTGTTGTGGCTAATGCAATAAACTTGGCTACCATGTTGGAATCCGTTATGCATGTTTGTTTCCTAAAACCTTAAAAAATGCACTCCCACCAAGTACAAAGATCCAACCGCTTATAGAAGCATGATCTTTCATATTAGTAATCCAACTAGAATCAGAATATCTTTATAAAACTGAAAGATGTCCGCTATAACACAATCCATAATTAATTATTTTCTTCAAAACCTAAATACTTTTTTAACTACTTGCCAAAGCAAGTTACTTGGATTACTTGTGTACCTACTTAACTTTCCAATAGCAAATGCTATAATTGTCATTGTATATGTCATTGCATATATGAGGCAACCAATTACTCTTGCATTTTGCAATTGATCGATTGTTCTACCAGTATTATATACTAATTTTAGTTGGGAATCTATGGGTGTGGATATTGGAATACAATCGAAAAAATCAAACTTTTTAAGTACTTTTGTTAATATAATGTGATTGTGACAAAGTTATGCCACTATCATTTCGAATTATTCTAATTCCAAGAATAACATGCATTATACCCATATCTTTCACTGAAAAATTATTTGATAAAAATTTTTTTATTTCCTTAACTTGTTTTGAATAAGTGCCAAAGTTTAGCATATCATCTACATATAAGAAAATTATAACTACTTTGCCATTTTTGAATTTGCTATAAATGCACTTATCGAATTCATTAATTCTAAAACCATTAGCAAGAATGATTTTATCAAATTTTTGGTGTAATTTTTTTGGTGATTGCTTAAGTCCATAAAAGGACTTTATAAGTTTACAAACCTTATGCTCTTGACTTGGAATAATAAATCCTTCTGATCGTTTCATGTATATTTCCTTTTCTAATTCACCATTTAAAAAAGTCATCTTACATCTTTTTGATATATAATCAAATTATAAATAGAAGCAAGTGAAATTATAAATCTAATTGTAGCAATTCTAACTATTGGAGTATAAGTATCGAAGTAATCTATACCTTACTTTTATGTAAAGCCATTGGCTACCAACCTTGCTTTAAATTTATCATGGTTACATCCACCTTCATTTTCCTTTTGAAAATCCATTTTCAGCCTATTGGATTAGAACCTGGTAGAAGGTTAACCAAAATTCAAGTGTTACTTCCTATTATTGAGTCCATTTCATTATTTATTACTTCTCTCCAAAAAGTAGAATCTTAAGACTTCATTGCCTTTTCATATGTAATAGGATCAAACTCCACATTAAAACAATAAGAAATTTGATTATTTATGCTTTCCCCAATCTTTTCTATAAGGAACATAGAGAAATCTGGTCCAAAATTTTTTGCCTTTCTAATCTTTTTACGTGTCTTTATTCTTTTATAAGATTTATCACTAATTTTAGTTTGTTCCAATGGATTTGGAATTTCTTTTCCATTTGTAGGATGAACTATTTGTAGTGGTTATAGTTGTCTCAAAATAGATTTAAATAATTTTCATCAAAAATTACATCTTTTGATTCAATAATAGTGTTAATTGAAATTGAATCATTCGGTTCAAGAACCTTGATCTTCTATGCTTTGCTATTTTGTGCATATTCTATAAATATGCATTATGTTCCTCTTTCACCCAATTTTTTTCCTTTTGAGTTCTACAATTTTAACTACAACTCTACATCTCCAAACCTTTAAATAATAAAGATTTGTTTTTTTTCTTCCATTGCTCATAGAAGGTTATTTTTGTTTCTTTGTTAGGAATTTTATTTTGTATATGACAAACTATTAATAAAGCTTTATCTCAAAATTCTTGTCCAAGACCAGAATATAATAACATTGCATTACCATTTTTGTTAAAACCCTGTTCTTTCTTTCAACTACACCATTTTGTTTTGATGTATAAGGAGCTGTAACTTGGTAGATTGTTCCTGTGAATTCAAAGTAACTTGGACTACAATATTCTTCATGCCTATTCGATCTTAAGTACTTGATAAAAG